ACGAGATAGTAAATTTCTTACAAAGTAAGAAGGATGCTGTTTTGCGCATTAGATTTTCGTCAGGCAAGTTAGGGGTAAATCAGCAAGTGAGGGTGGGTTGAGGATAACTAGAAGTGTAAGGGACACTGAGAAGGGCCGCCGGGCTGTGATTGCAAATTCAAATTCTAGATCCGATATCATTGACGCGGAGATGGTTGGCCGTTGGAGTACTGAGAGATTCGAGACAGTTTAGTCCGCAAACATTCATCTACCCCTCCGTCTAGCCAAGCGTTTTTTTAAAAAAAAAACCCAAAATCTATGGTAGAGAGTAAGTAAACCTAAATCGACCTTGGTCAGCACAACCATTCAAGTCCCTTTTTACATATAACCGAATCAAAGCCGTGGATGGTGAGCTGGCTATTGAGAAAATACAACATAGTTTTGCAGTTCAAACCACTGTTTTGGTTTATCCAGACCACTTAATCGTAAGCTCTTCGACTCCAATGGGAGGGTTCTTAAATCTGGCACGCTGAAGAAGACAAACATTTAGGAAGCGAAAAAAAGACCAGTGAATTCTCAAAGGTGATCCGTCCTTCCGATTGATTTGACTTTAGACGGTTTTCTTGGATGCCTGGGTCAAATTATGTCCATGATGATCGTCTGAATTAGGCTACGATGCGTTGTGGATTCAGCATCCCCAAAAGTATGTACTTCAATATATTTGCAAGTTTATTTTTTTCACTATCAACTGCGGTTTATGCACACCAACTTTCTCTTTCATACTCCCCTCCTTCTTCCTAGTGGTACACGCACCTTTGAGTGCATTGATTCAATTACCTGCACTCAGTCCCGCCCAAGCCGTGTATAGGCGGGCGCATGCGAACGTGCGCTCGGCCTATGCGATAAAAAGTTCTCGGCACGGTGTCTTGCCTTGGCTCGGGGAGGTGCTGACTCAAGAGCGTTTTATCTGATTGCGGTGATTGGCATTTGGGGTTTTGAATCTGTATTCTGGCGACGAAACAGGTGTTACACTGTGAATTTGCCTGCGTCATATTTGGAATCGCACACGACCACTGGCGTGTCCAAGTGGCTCACGCCGAGACTGCATTGCATTGAATCGATGTAAGGTAGTAGCTCATTTTCCCTTCGTTATTCTGAATTATGGAACAGAGAATGCGGATGGTTACGTTAAACTCAACACCTGCCTTTTTTAACTCCGAAATGTGCCCCCTTATGCTTCTAAGCATTTCTTTTATTTTTTTTATACTTAACATCAGGGCACAGGTCTATGTAAACTACAAGAGCTAATAGTGTAGTGAACTTATAAACTGTCAATTGTGAAAAGTGAATCGCTGTTTTTGCTAATTTATGCGCAATTAAAACTGGATCAATACTTTTTCGAGTTAGCACTGAACGTCGGCAAAATTAGAGATTCCCTCGCTTATTAGCTGGGATTCCGACAAGTACATTGGTACAACGGAAGGGACAAAATTAGGACTGTAGGGAGCATAAGCCTTCTAATGATAATTTAATTCTTCCTGTGAAGATACAGTAATTCGACTGACAAGAACCATCAGAGTAGCATTGAAAGCGAAGTGAATACTATAAGTTAGAATCTTAATTACCACTGTGGTCCTCGACCATTTAAAGCTTTCGGATGTCGAAACCTTTGCTTCCGAAATTGTTGAGAGGGGAAAAATAGGCCATGTTAAACGCGAACTATTATCAAAGTTATAGCAAATACTCAAGCAAGTGACAATTGCTGCTTCAGAACGCCCACGTGATTGAAAACGCATAAATATTCTGACCGAAATTCAACAATTGTGAACAAAGAACACACATTTCAAATGCATGGAAGGCGTCGGCAGTCGGCTAGTGTTATCAAATGGTACTGCTTCCGACGGAACGGTTTCATCCTGCACTTCATGGACCAAAAATCATGCTGGGAAGCTTCACCCACATTCAGATTGCCATGACGTTGGTTTTAATTCACCAACTTTGATTGGCTAAACGATGTGCTACTGCAGACCAACACAACAGATGCAATGTCGCAGACGTGATCACCTCGTGTGTCTCAAATCCGGGTCAAGTGGGATTCTGTCTGTCAGAGGGTCACATACCACATAATTACTTACGCACTTATCTGTTAGCATATTCAGTGAGTTGTGGAACACCAAGGTGAGCTTTTGTCTTCTTATCTCCCAATCTGATCATCTCCCTTTGAAACAGTGGTGGATTGGAAAGTCGGTTTAAAAGGCTTCCGTAAATGGGAAGATTTTCGAGTGACGATGACGTGAACAAATAAACCAGCCAAAGTATCGACTAAGAGGTGATAATGGGTAGTGAGAGAGCGACCAATCGCGTGAAGACTTGCACAACGTAGAGAGTGGTGAGCGTGAGCAATGGCGAAGGTCAATGCCGAGGTTACGAGATCGTGAGCGCAGAGGTCTGGATGCTAGTACGATTGGAATCGTAGTGTGTCACTGGAATTGCCTTGTTGGTTGCTAGTTGGTGGGAAAATTTTGACCTTGGTACCTCAATCGGCAATGAAGTGCAAAAATCTTGATTGGAAAATAGCATCTCAGCTGTGAATTACAAATTTCCTTCGCCAAATCAAAAATGCGGATGTCTTTATAACATCTGCAAATTCGACACCGTCTAGATAAATACGCATCCTAGAAACTAATGTCCGACCACACTTAACGGCTTTCCACGTGATATGTGACCACCCAGCGTAACTCAGGCATTCTACTTTTTTATTACCTCTATGAACAAGGCCATTTAATAACCAACACTACCCCAGAACTCACCTTCTTCATGCGTTTTCCCTGACAGCCATCATAATGAACTGTGGTAGGTCCTCGCGTTGGACGGTGTTTAGCTCAATGCCAGTATAAATACACCAAACCGTCAACCAAATTTGACCTCATGACGTGCTGTCTCCCTGCTATTTTTCTCGAAATCTCTCTTACTATTTGTCGCGTGACGCTTGAAACCAAGGGCTTGGAATCACAGGAGAGCAAAGTACCACGCCTATGGATGTTCCTTCGCCGTATAATTTTTGACAGCTGTAAGTTCCCCATCACAAAGTTATCGACGAATAGGCAAATCTCAACGCAGATTCCGAGCATAGGCGGGGGTGTTGGGGGCGTCCTTATCTAATGCGATAAGGAGGTGTCTACCAAGCCCCCATCCTACACCCACAGTTTCATTGGTTTGAAAGCTCAATGTTCGAGAAGGTACGACTCAGAAAGCCGCGGTATGCAACAGCAAAAACAACGCCTTGAGCTGTAACTGTGCATAAGAATTTGAAAAAAAAGCTATGGTCTGCATGGAATGAGGTTCAAAAATTGGTGCTGCACGAACAATCATTAAGTATGCACAAGTAATTTACATCAATTTGCCTAATAACTCTCCAGTCAAACAAATTTAAGCATCTGAACTTCATTAGAGTGCTCAGAACAAAATCAACAAATGGGCCATATTTTCGGAAACGGCGACAAACTAAAAAAAGCAAAGTGATACGCACCGCACAAATCTTCAATGAACAAAGCATAAAAGTTACATTTAACTAAACACGTGCCCAAATCACAGCCACCCCCGCCGTGACACAACTAGCAGTGCTCGTGCATTTCCAATTTGTTCGTCGTGTCCTGTGTGCGCGGGGCATGTGACGCGCGCACACAAACACACCCATAGTCGTTGGGAAAGTGATCAAGCCAAAAGCGGTCAAGTGTGAATAAATTTCAATGACTCAAGTGCAGTAAATTCTTGGGGAAATTTCTGTGAGGATACTAATAAGATACCCCTGCCAAATGACAGCCTACTTTCGCGGATGAACAATGTTAGATCGTGGAACTGATGGTATTTAATTAACCACACAAAATTGGCAAGTTGGCTTAGGAATGATAGCGGATACGACAGGTCAGCTATGTAATTAGCTTAAAAAATCCCCGATTATCTAAAGCAGAGGTGATGGGAGTTGATACAGTGTTTACTGAATGAAAATATGAGCAAATGAGAGGGAAAAAGATAATATCAGAAATTAGGTCGCGTTCTGTGTTGTGAAATGGCTTGGGTAGGTGCATGAGGACGTGCAGTCTCGACGGCGCCACAAATGCATACCATTGGGAGGCTAAAAATAAACAAGAACATTAAAGCGGGTGCTTTAACACCGAAATTTGATGCGTGACAAACATTGGTCACACCAAGGTCGTGGCAGAAAACGTTCAAACACGCGAGGAAGATCGCAGTTGAGCAATAATAGCAACACTTTTATCGTCTGAATTGATGAAATTGGTACGAAAATACTAGGTCGATGGGGTGTTTCTGAGCAACGCAATGCAATTGCATGCCCACACAACCCGGCATTTGATGCTGTGGTGGCCGAATTCCTAAAGGTCAGTGTTCATACCCCTCCCGGTCTGAAATTACTTTGGACGCAAATGAAGTAGGACCGGGAAAGTAGTGCACAAGAAACAACTAGAAATGTACAAGGGATGATGTAACCGTGCAGGGCATTAAATGATGTTCTAATGTTGAGCGATTTGAAATGCGCAGATTTTGCTTCAATTTTTTGACCACCGTCATCATTCAGCGTTGAGAAGTGGTTTAATTATGGTAAGACTAATCCCCAGGTCCAAAGCAAAGATCATTAAGTCAAATGACGCCAGATGTCTGCATATCTACACACAAGATAACTATTATCTGTGGTTGCCTAAAATTTTTGAGATTTCAGTGGGTTAGTGGTAACAATTAGAAGGAAAACATCATCAGCATTAGGTCGATCTGGAAGCGAATAAGAGTACTCTAACACATTCCAAGTTCTGCTACAAAGTCAAAACAAAACAGGCAACCTTCTACACTAGGTCGACGGGGAAACCAGGTTAGAAGGTATACACCATTCAGAACTCTTGACACACGGTTTCCCCAGGCACAGTGGCAAATTTGCCTTAGGAGGTTAATATCTGCTTGATGCAGTATGCAAAAGGGAATAATTACCGGAAATGCAGTGACGGTGGCTACTGCGGAGGGTACGGAGGAGGAGGGTGGGAGGGTGGATTGGACCATCCGGAGCCTGGCGGGGGAGCAGTGGGATAGGGGAGAGTCGAGGGTGATGCCCTGCCCGGGTAAGGTGGGGGCGGTACGTCTGAGGCGGGTGGAGCGAGGTATGGTGGCGGTGGCGGGTCCTTTAAGCAAAAAAACCAATGTCAAATTGTGTTTAAAATGGGAATAACCTGTACACGTTACACTGCCCAATGTTGGCGCGAACCTTTACTCATAAAGCTATCTCAACTGGTGAGCAACATCAAATCCTCAACATTTTCGGTCAGCAATTTCCCTTGTCTTAAAAGGCACAGGCGTGCATGAGCGCCGAAGCTAAAACCGTGCAACCCTGAATGCGCTCTTTGAGTTCTTCGCTTCCGGAAAACATGCTATAAGATTAACTTGGGATATGTTATTTACATTAGAAACGTATTACGTACAGAACAGTTTCGGTTTATTTTTAACTAAGACACAATGATTCTCCCAAATTATGCTTACAGTTTATTTAAGGTAACACTTGTTCAGTAGCTAAATAAGTTCATGGTAATTTGAAACCTGCTTGAAGAGGACAACTGTGATAAACTGGTGCTAGATATGTGCTACGTTCATTGGTGTTACCACAGGACCTGATCAACAAAGCCATCTCCTCAAATTGTTTATGACAAATAGAGATTCAATAAACCAGGTTTGTACTAAACTACTAGCTAAAATGCACACAGGCACTAGAAATACGAATAACATGAAGTAAACTTGGTAAGAGGCACGGAGAATATACCAGTGCGTCCCCAGGTTTCGATACCGATACTGGGTAGGTGGGAACATTGGGATCCAGGCCCGGCGCGTAGCCATTTATGACGACCGTGTTTGGGTTGGGGGAAGGAATATCGCCTGTCGAAGTCATCCTAGGAGTCTCCGCAGATGCTTTTCTACCTCTGCAGCAGCACGCATAAAGCAGTGCTCCGATGCACACGGCCACGAGTAGCGTGCCAAACGAAGCTCCATACAGCATCCCGCTTGGTTGCCCATAGCTGTAGCTAAGGTGAGGGATGGAAAAATGGGATCATGAGAGCGGATTCTGGATACAAAAAACGCCTCCAAAAAATTAAAATTTTCATCAACTGTTACGAAAGGCCGTTACGAGAAAAGAGAGCATAAGGAACCAAATTAAATTAGACAACTGACACCATTATTCAACGAAAATGTATTTGTTAAATGAAACTATTACACAGGAGTTTGAGTCGTCAACAGAGAAGAAATTAATAAATAAAATTCTGAGTCAAAAGATCACCAATTTCTACAACTGACACAACAAACCGTCCGGGGAGAAACTAAGAGTGAAAACACGCAAAATACATTGTGTAAGGCGAATTTGTATGGGGTGTGGTTCGAGATGACAATTAGGCAACAGCCATCATTTGTCGAGCCGCAAAATCTTGGTGTAAGTCAGTTCTTAAACCTGCATTTTGCCTTCGGCGCACTTACCAGCTAAACAACGCAAACGACTTAAAGCAACACGATGATTGCACTGCACAGGCACGAATGTGGAATACGACAGAATCAACTGTGGAAGCAAATTGCCTCTACATATTAATTAACTGCAATATTCAACACTGCTAATGACCAGTGCGCTTGGATATGCCCACTTCGCAACTGACTGTAAGATTGCAGTACAGAAAGGTTGTACGGTGATTGGTAAAAAGTAAGCATTAGACATGACGGATGTTTTTTTCTAGGGATTTGATGAAAACCTGCGGGCGACGATGTTCGTACTTGCCAAAGGACCCACACTAAAGGCTACCTGTACTTTTACGATGACCTAAGCCAACCTCAAGACTGCATCTCTAGGACGATATTTACTTGACAAACGCACTTTCAAATTTACTTAAATAGTCATCGGCCTACTAGTGATCGAAGCTACCACCATGAAAAATTTTAGAGATCCATTAGTACTCATGGTTTATCAAAAAAAATGCCAATGCCACTTCACTTATTGGTTCAATGGTTTTCTCTTAGGTGCTTCTTTGTATTAATTTCTAAATATAATCATCAAAACCTAAAAAGTTAGGAAATAATCTGACAAAATGAATAAGCCTTGGTGAAATTTGTGTTCAGTTGCAACATGAAAAACGGAATTCGTTGCTAAGCCCGCAGCAAAACCAAACTGGCTATTTTAGCACACAGAAATATGGCATTTTCACAAATTACCCCAAGTAGTTCCTTTGTTGGTACATGATTTACGTAATGAAATACAGCGGTTTACAGCCCTCAGTTCCAGTTTCAAAGACAGCACACAACACGAGATGTATCGAAGTAAAACTTTAACAATTGTTTCCTGGAAGAATCTCACATTAATATGACCAAATTAACGAGGCTTTCACATAATCTAAAAATCACTTAATACTTGCAGACACGGATTTCAGAGGCTGAAGCATAAAGTAAATAGGGAGGCGAAAACTCAATTAGAACAGGTTCGATGTTTCAAATAAAGCATTGCTAGCGACCCTTGATTAACTTTACCCCAAAAAAAAAATTATTAAAAAGGAAACTGTGCAACTTATGTAGCAAAAATAAAACAAGAAAAACAACTTACTGAGAAGGGCCACTGCAACAGCGCTCGCCTTCGTAGGTCTCCCCTCGACAACAGTAGCGAAGGTGACTAGGACATACCGTATACTTGTATTCCCTCAGAACACCATTAGAGTCCAGTTCAAATCGTTTTCCTTCACAAACTGTATATCGAGCTAAAGGAATAACCACAATAAAATAATGATATATTAGGCCCTAACATGAAGTGAACGATCTAGGCTTCGGCGCCTTAAATGTTGTTTTACTTTCACCGCAAACAAATTTAACTGAAACGCAACAACGACCTGAAAATTGTCGGAATCCGTATATTTATAACGTGGAACCAGAAAATGCTTTTGCATGCAGAGAATATAATAGGATATTACCAAAAAAGCGCAAAACCATAAGACTAATGAGTAATCACCAATGCTGATTGAAAGAAGTGATATAAGAAATTAATAAATGATGGTAATGTTTGACAAAGTATTATACTCCAGAGGTATTAAATACATTGCAAAGTCGAACTAATCAAGTTTGCCGAGTAGCCATCTACCTTACCACCGTAAGCGCTCAATATTTCCTTCTACCACACAATCGGTCCAGATAAAATAACTGGCATATTAATTCTGGATACGTAGATATCTTAAAAGAGCCCTACCTCAATGAAACACGATGAAACCTTAACGTACCCCACTGATAGAATGCTACCTTTATTAAATTGAAAATGAACCATATGTGGAAGTAAATTTTAAGGTAGTGCTTAGAGCTTAGAAGTTAGAGCCTAATTATTCTCCAAGACAATAGATACGAAGAAATAAGGTTCAACGAAAACTAAAATAATAATCAAAAGATTATGAGCTTATAAAACTCTTATTAACAGAGAAGCCGATAGTAAACTAGTTTGACAAGGATAGAAACAAAAAGCATGAATTGATAAATCAGATACATTTAAAATTGTATTTTGGTGAAAGCAACATGAGCTTTTTAAAATAACCTACTAGAAAACGTCAGACCAATACGGCTACTGTGGGTTTGTTGTTTCATCAGAGATGACGCAAAATTTCAGCTTCAGGCATTAGCACGGAAATATGAATTTAGTCAATGATTCTATTAAGGTATCAAAGATGAAACAAGAAAGTAAAACAATTCGCCGATTAGGCCAATTATAACAAAAAAAATATAAATCTTGGACCAACTTCACTCTGGTGCGAATTTGGAGAGCCTAGTATGTTGAAGCTATTTGAAAAACTATGATTTATAACCACATGACCCAACAAGACTCCTAAGACCGTACTTTTCATGGGTTCTCTTCTCTAGACCCATTTTAAAATTACCAGAGAGAACGTGACCAATTTTAAAGCGCAATTTTTGTGGTAGCATCATCGATAGAAACGAAATTTAGTTCCAGTAACAAATTAAGCAAGACAGACCAAGCTAAATGGGCCCCTGATAGCCACATGTATAGTTAGCGGCAAAACAAATAATACGCTATAAGAATAGCCAAATATTTTTCTGTCACCAGACGTAAAACGGAACTCACACAAATCGTTGTACGATGCCATTTTGAAGCCAATGTAAGCAGCTGCTAAGCCACCAACACCAAGCAGCATCTTCTTCCTCAATGGGCTGTAAAATAGAACAGTGTGCTGTACAGAGTTCCGCGGTGCGGATACGAATGGAACAATCACATAACGACTACGTAATCCTACAGTTGGCCGCTTGATTAAATTAAAACGACGCTTAAAAATATAAAGGAGGGTTATTTTATAAAAACGACAAAATCAACAAAGGCTACTCACAGACCCGAACTCATTTTTATGTTCGATGACATCCGAGAGTATTTACGAGTTTTGGGACGGACACCAGAGAAACTCCCTTTGGAATAGGCATCTGAGGACGTAAGTTATAAAGTGCGCTAGCTTACAGCAAATGTGATAAAGAAACAGAAGTAATAACAGTTGACCCCAGAACCTCATTATTGGGTAAAAAAATTAACGGCGAGAAAATCACAGTTTGCGCATCTACTTCTTGATGAAGTAGTGATTTCGACATTTTATTTATTAAAACAAATAAACGTAGGGCAAACGGTAAATGAATTAGGATGTAAATATTTGGAGTAACTTTATGTTATCTTAAAAGAGACAACTTTATCTAGCTACAAAAAGTTTTATTATGATAAACTCGATTCGTCTAAATATATTTAGGAGAATTCAGTGTTATTAACTTGTGAAATTTGAGATTAAATACTTTCCTTAGTGTAAACGATTTATTATTTTGTTTTAGACTTCTACGTTGCACTAGAAGAACTTAAATATCTTGAATGTTACAGGGGTCCATAGTCAAAGCAACCTTGCAATTAATATCAGGATGACGCGTGATATTTTGCACAAACGAAAGGGACCAAATACTTAATTTGCAGTGGCACCACGAAAAAATGATTGTCCAAACAAATTCCTAATATTCGTCAAATAAAATTAATTTTTAGGCATATGCTAAAAATTATAACATGTACCTGGTTCAAAATCTTAAACCGAGACTGAAAGATATAACAAATTCCGAAGTTATCTAAGGTTAAGCTCCCTTTGATTAATTTTGTTGATATTTGAGGAATCAAATGGATCAAGTGAAATAAGTGAACATTTCATCAATTGAGAATGAATTTTGTCTCCATTTGGATTGCAAACGAATGGTACTTTATTTTATACGTCATGACAAATTTTTATCTCTGACAAGATCCCATAGTTTTTACGATACCTTCAGTGTTCAGAAACAAAAAGGCAAATATGACCCTAGTAGTAGAAAACGAAGTATGTCCTTAACCCAATGTTCGAAAAAGCATTTAATTGGGCAGCTACGTAATGGGACTGAATAATTGTGGTTATTTGATATTATGAACAAGTAGGAGGCAATATCTGGAATAAAAACAAGGGCCAAGCGCATTTTGACCTTTTTCAAAGATGATGCATGTTTAAAAAACCCTTCTTACTTATAATTATTCGTCGTGGTTCGCCTAGTGAATTATGGCCATGCGGAACTGCAGCCATTTTCCAATGTTACGAATCGTTATCCCTACAACTCACGTATTAAGTGGATAGAAAAATCGATGACACTTAGAGTCAAAGAAAACCGTTTACTATGTTAGTAGTCATGCGAAGTTCTTGTACCACGTAATCCAGAAGCAAAAGAGAATGATCATATTTATGAGCAGTACACCCTGAACCAACAAATAACTTTTATGAACCATATAATGATCAACGATCTACGAAGGCACAATTTTGAGGAACAATTTTGAAAAAGTAAAGTGTACGAGTATAGGCTACATTATTTTAGCTTTCGTAGTTAAAGGTCAGATTTCAGAATCAACGCCATTAAAATGCGCATTTAGAAAAAAAATTCTTTTTTGAGTTTGCAGATCGTTATGTCTCGTTTTCGAGACGAGATTATATCGAAGTTGTCAAAGCCAAACCAAGCAAAATGTCACTTTGAACTATAGAAGCTTCAGGGTTTATTAGATTTGTTGTGAACCGTGTTTATTCAACCACTCATTCCGGTCGCTCCGCCTCCGACACAAGGTTCTCCTTTTTTGCAGCCTGGCGCTAGCTGCGCGAATCCTAAACTCCCCCTTCATTTACACGAATATATACCTTGGATTATTATCACACCTAAGTCTCGATGTTAGCCCAGTTATGACTCACACATCCGAGCTATAAATACACACACACACACACACTACACACACCACCACGGCTTCGTCAAGTTCTCGAAAAACAGTTGACTCTCCGCCCTTCCGCAGAATGTATCCTTGTTGGGTATTTGGTGGTGTATGGCGTCACAACAGATTTATTTGAGTCAAGTAGTCATCTGGTACCGCGAGTTACCAATATATATATACATATATATATAGTGTTAAACTCGCCGCAACTACGTTGAATCACTCGATAATACAAATTCACCTTATATACTTTGGCTGCTGATATTTCAGCGCTGTGCCAATACTTTTTACTTTTTTAATGAGCAAGATGTAATTAAAAAATTCACTCCACTTAGAGTAGTTTCACAGTTTTACAATTATAATCAAATAACCCGGATCTCAATGTAACAAAATAATTTTGTAAATTTGCAGTTCAATTGCAATAATGTTTATAATAAACCTGCTCAGACAAACTATAATAAACGACCCCTAATTATTACAAAAATTGTATTTTGCCAATGTTAAGAGATTTCGTCAAGTTATGGAGAAGATTATTATTGATGATTTGCGTTTTCTTAAAATCTTATTACCTCAAAATTTTCCAACTACACACCAAAGCAAAATATGGTAAAATAACAGCACGATGTTTACAAGCTTCATGTCGGTTTTGGTAAAATGAATTCCGAGGAAATATTTAGGTCAATCAAGTGAGGCATGGTATGGATTCTGTAGCATTTTATGCACAAATTTTATTCTTTTTATAGTTTAACCCTTCATGACCTAATTCTTTAAAATAAATTTTGTGCATAAGATATGGTTTGAAGTAAGGAGACAACAGTTTCTTTCTGAAATATCTTGGTGTTAAAACACATGGAGGAAAATTGCACCAAATGTTGGCCTTGTTTATGCTTATCCAATACCTGCATAAAGTTAATCGCGGCTGTTTCGTCGTGCTGGCGATGGTAATTTTTTTGTGTTGTATTTTCTATGTTGCGTTTTTAGAGGCGGAGTCATGCCCCCAGCCAGGTCTCGTGTCCAACTACAAAAGCATCTCTTTACGACGAAGTATGGTATTCTAGTAGACCATAATATTGGGCAAATTAGCTTCAAGTCAAACGAAGTCGTCCAACAACGCAAATCGCTAAAAGTGACGGCTATTTACCTACATCCTTCGTGTCATCATACCGGAAACCCTTAAACGAACATAATCAACAAAATGGCATGTCATGTGAGCGTGGTGCACATGTTAGCCTCATAATTTGACATCATTCTTTTTAGGAATCGTTAATTAGAGACATCCTCACGAGACCGTTTAAAGTGCCAATCCCAAATTACCAAAGTAGTTTTAAATAAACTTAAGTAATGTTTAGCTAACAGATACGAGACCAAGGCTCTGGGAGTGAAACGCTCAACGGCTAAGGTTGCGCTTCATGATCCATATGAACCCAATGCTCTGGTACTTTACGAACCGCCGGAGCGTAATGCTCACGATTGCCTAAAGTCCGATTCGTAAATCGATTTTGACATTATTAAATCTCTTAAGAGACAAGCAGTTAGTTCATGTTGTTGTGGATCCTATTCTCTCGGGTGTTCTTCGACCACATCAGAGAGAGGTAAGTTTTTCCTCTCCCTTGATATTAGTAAATCATTCCTGATTCTATTTCACATGAATTTATCTCCTTAGGGAGTCAAGTTTATGTACGATTGCGTCACTGGCGTCAAAATCCCTAACAACTATGGTTGCATTATGGCAGATGAAATGGGCCTTGGGAAAACCCTGCAGTGCATTACCCTAATCTGGACCCTCCTGGTGAGTCAATCGGCTTTTAGCTTCTGAGACCAGCACCTATAGTGTGTAAGTATAATCTATTTTTTTTTCTGTTCTAGCGCCAAAGTCCTGAGGCGAAGCCGATGATTGACAAGGCTATAATTGTTACACCAAGTAGTCTAGTGAAGAATTGGTACAATGAATTGAAGAAGTGGCTTGGTAACCGAGTGAACCCTTTAGCCATAGACTCTGGCTCAAAAGATGAAATAGATCGAAATCTGGGCAAGTTCTTTTTGTCTTGTTTTGTATTTCGTGTTTCTTGATCTTAACATAATTGCTCTTATTGTAGCTGGGTTTCTTGCTCAGCGAGGACCACGGATAGCGAATCCGATTTTAATTATCTCCTATGAAACCTTCCGGTTGCATGTAGGGGAATTGCACAAAGGTACCGTAGGACTGGTCCTCTGTGATGAGGTAAAATTTTGCTTAACCTCTTCACTGTTTGAAAATTGTGGTTACCGTCAGTCATTCCTACTTAAAGGGCCACAGACTGAAGAATTCTGAAAATCAAACTTATCAAGCACTTGTACAACTTAGCTGTCAAAGACGGGTGCTTCTTTCTGGAACTCCAATTCAAAACGACCTCCTTGAGTATTTCAGTCTTGTCCATTTTGTGAATATGGGCCTTCTGGGTACGGCTGCGGACTTTCGGCGTAAGTTTGAGGTGCCCATTCTCCGTGGTAGGGATGCAGACGCGACTACTGATGAGCAGAGTAAAGGTGAAGAAAAACTCCAAGAGGTGGGTCACGCTTTTTGCAGTTAGTAATTGTTCGAGCAACTGTAAATCCGTAGTTACGGTAGTGCTCTTACATAATGCTTGTAATTTTTATTAATTAGGTGGTTCGTGGATATTTAGGCGTATGTTAACGAATCTATAAACATTGATCATGAATGTGATTAATAAGGTAGTTTAACTTCCCCCATTTAACTTTAAGTGTTTCCCGTTTCCAAACTGCGCGTTCTGATTTACAAGCATTTGTCGAAAATCAGTACATTTGTACTCTTACTTAACTCAAAGAACGAATTCTCATTTAAGTTTAGCTTTACGAATCTCATTTTTTTCTGAATCATCCATTTTTTTTCCAATCATCCTTATTGCTGGACCGTATAAATTAGCCCCTACATCTGTTTTGCTCGTATGTCTAATCATCCAAATGAAGGTGTCTTTTCTTGTATTCTGACTTCTAACAAATGGGCCTACCTTTTAAACTGCGGTTTCCTTTGACGATTCGGCTTATTTGAAAAGCAACTTTCACCTTATGATCATCCAAGACTATAATCAACTTTAAATGTTGCCAGCTTTTTAATTTCAAATCCTTTCATAAATGTATGCCCTCTAGTGCTTGCCAAGGATAAACCTGGCATGCCACGGTAACCTCCTTCCTATGTAAGACCTATTTTAAGTATTTTGTGGTTTCTAGCTTCTTGGGATTGTCAGTCGTTGCATCATAAGGCGAACTCAAGCTCTTCTGACACAATATCTTCCTGTAAAGAGTATGTTTGGTCGTATTGTATTTATTGACTCTTTATTACGCCCTAATGAATGATGTGGTTATGTTAACAGTCGAACAGGTGGTATGCTGCCGATTAGCACCAGTCCAGGCACAAGTCTATGCCACCTTTGTTGAAAGGAAGGCCCGTGAAGTGTCGGCCCAGCTCAGTGGGAGTGAAAAAAAGCTGTCTCTGTCAAGCCTCGCTTCGATAACACATTTAAAGAAGCTTTGTAACCGTGAGTTTTTCACAACCTCTTTTCGCGCATCAAACTGTTCTTTCAATACGGTTTTCCCTGTTTAACAGAGTGCCGCTCACATTTTCATCTGTCTTTTCCCAAATGGTTTATGGTCTTACTTCATCTTTGTTACTATTAAAGAAAGCGTCGGAGTGTAGTTGGTGACGAGCTTGAATGTATTGATCTGCACCCTCAACAAGGTGCGCCTTAGATGTTCATAGATAAGACATTTTATATTTGAATAATTTATTTTGACTTCCACCAAGTCACATCTCGATGTAATGTCTTCCAAAAAAAAAATATTTAGGGCTAAAAACCCGATTGTGTTTGACTATTCCTTTTTTAGCAGATGCCGTCGTCGTGTAATCAGTTTTTATTAAGCACAAATTTTCCGTGTGGGTATTGCTAATGCCTCATTTTTTTTGAAATTCCAGATCCTGATCTCATATTTGATAAGATACGTCAAGGCTCTGATGGCTTCGGTGGAATGCTTGGTTTCTTCCCTCCCTCTTATGCTAGCTGTCCAGAAACCGGTCGCCCTGCACAACCCGAACTTTCTGGTATTTTTTTTCGTTATTTTTGCAGCTTAGTATGTTGCATCGTATTCCCAATGACCGGAACTTTGCGATTTGTCATCTAGGTAAATTCCAAGTACTTGACTGTATCCTGGCTCTAATTCGAACAACCTCAAACGACAAGGTTGTGCTAATTTCGAACTATACACAAACCCTGGACCTTTTCGAGCTCCTCTGCAAGCATCGCAGGTATGATTCGTGTTAGGCTCTTCAACTTTTCAAATTACGTGTAATCATTCTTCGTCTGTATCAACAGCTATGGCTATTTCCGACTTGATGGAACGATGTCCATAAAGAAGAGGGCAAAAGTCGTTGAACGCTTCAACGAGCCCAATGTAAGTTGTCTGCTGCACTAAAGTGTCTGTGCACACATGAATCCTCATAAATCACAGTTTTTTTAATTTTAACATTACAATTATGCCTCGTCATAAGCAATATCCGTACCCTCGACTATTTTCGCCTTTTTTTCCTAAACTGTGTGGATGTGCTCTAGAAGCTAACATCGTTTTTTTCATTCAAGGAATTAGAAGGAGTTCAAAGATGCCCAGTAATCCCCCGGTTAAATGTCGAAGACCAAACGTGTATTTTACTTGTGACGGTAGTTAAATTCCATAACGAATCTGCAAAAGTCATTGAGGATGAGGACGAGATGTGTGCGGTATTTGAGATTTACTTGACCCCCGTATTGCTTACCTTAACCATGTGTTTTCTGTGGCTCTAGTCACCGGAGTTCGTCTTCATGCTGAGCAGTAAGGCAGGTGGTTGCGGACTGAATCTGATTGGTGCAAACAGACTGGTGATGTTTGATCCCGACTGGAACCCAGCTAATGACGAACAAGCCATGGCTCGTATATGGCGCGATGGCCAAAAGAAACAGTGCTATATATATCGTCTCATATCGGTAACTTTTCCACTTTTCGGTTGTTGGGTTTCTTTGTAATGGTGTCTTGGCAAGCCAAATCAGTTGGCTGGTTTTTTTCTGCCTAGTTCTTGCATACCCTAGCTTGTAGTAGTTCTGTTCGCCCTCAAACACTAGCTGCGTGGATCTCCCCATGCATTAATTGTTTTCCGTTCTTTTCATGAATGTCACTGTTTCCTTTCCAAGACTGGTACAATCGAAGAGAAGATGTTGCAACGTCAAGCCCACAAAAAAGCCCTAAGTAGCTGCGTTGTGGATCAACTGGAAGAAGTGGAGAGGCATTTCAGTCTAGGAGAGCTGCGAGAATTGTTCTGCTATCATTCGGAGACTCTCTCGGATACGCATGACAGGTGGGTTCGAATCCATTTGTTCCATCCAACGTTTGTGATGTGTAATGTAGCACCATTTACGCGAAGTGGCACATGATAGCCTCGAAGTTTGCAAGTTGGGTTGGGGTCCCTTTCATTGTCGGCGCCTCTTCTTCACCTTAAGGTGTCCTTTTGGCTCTGGTTAGTGCCCTTAACAACCTTTCATTTGTGTTTCACCAACTAGAAAGGTAGCAGGAGCTTTCAGTTTCAATACTGCCATATTTGTTAGAGCCGATTGTCCGAGGAACTTTTAAATGTATACGCTACTGTGAAAAGTTAATATGAGCATCAGCGTTCTCGAACACAATTTGCAACCCCGATGCATTTAGTCCGTTGAATCGACGAGTGGCATTTTTGATTTATTCGCCAGAACATGGAATTAACCAATTATTACAATTTGTTCTGTTTCTGCAAGATTTCCAACACCTCAAATGCTGTAGTGATTTATATGTCACATATTGGACATGAGTTTTATAACACCTCAGGTTTACTGTTGAGATACATTTACACTACAATATTGGATATGCTATTGACGGCGAATCTGCTCCTGGAAGGGCCTGTGGATTCTGGCTGTGGTCATTTCCATGAACTACCGCACCTAAAAGCTTTATAAGTAGGAGCGTCATTCATGAATGCCAGTTTTTGATTCACCTCCCTGTGTTATGCGATACGGTGGCTTTCGCTCTCCGATCGAAATCAGGCGACGGCTTCCAAACACCTCGCTGTTTGATGTCTACTTGTTCGTCTCTTATGTGTGCATAGATTCAAGTGCAAGCGCTGCGTGAACCGCGTACAGACGAGGCCCCCGCCACCGGAGGCCGACTGCAATTGCGACTTGTCGTTGTGGCACCACTGTTACCAGCGCAAGGCCCTCGACGACTACGTCCTCAAGGGCGCCTGGGACACCCAGATGATTAGTTTTGTCTTCTGGCAGCACTCCCACGAGGAGCAGCGCAAGACTGTCTAGCGCATCTATCCGCATCCCCATCCAACGCTGCTTAACTTTGATGACGCAGGGACACTTTATTGGTGAATCAGAGTTCTTTTGTAACACATCTTCTAAATTAAATTTGTTTTTCATTGTAAAGATTTGTTGTGTGACTTAATAGATTTTGGCTAAATTTACTGCACTATTGACTGCTACTCCCTAAGACGTACATGATTGGTCCAACTCAGGGTCAAGTCAAAAGGCCATTTTTATTTCAAAGGTCCGATATCCCAGCAAGATCAGTGTTTCGGAGGTGGCAACTTATCTTCCACAAATGTGGCTGTCCGTAAGTGTTCTAGGTGTAAAAATGTCACCCGCATATAGACTAATGTAACATGGCAGCATTCATAATTGCTCACTCATTCACTGGAAATTTCAACGGATAATTTATTTATCACGGCCCTGTCTTTTGTAAAAGTACTTGGCCAACACACTGAACGTCGACGAGTGAGGTAACGGTATCGTTCAATAGTAGAGAAGCAATCATTTACGGTTCTTTGAGATTGGGTTCGTATCTTTGGAGGGATGCTTTTGCTGACTTGTTCACAATTTGGTTGTAACTTCCGTACCTTTAAGATACCAAATTGTGGCTTTATTAGACGACTAAGTGCCTTAGTAAATGCGCATGACCTTCCGTTTTTATGCGTTTTTTAATGCTTACCCTTCGACTAGCACTCCAATATGCTGTCGGTTGGTAAAGCTTGAAATTTGATGGATACTTTGTAGACGGATTTTGCGGAACCATCTTTTTACTTCAACATTAGACACGTAAGCTTCCACCTTAAAACCTATTTCTCCAAATCTATTCCTGAGCATTGATCCGACTTAATTAACCTTCGCCTTTCTATTATGCCCGATGTATATTCATTTCAGATCGTGTGTGTGCAACTCTCTCCCCTTAAGACGACATCTTTGTTTCCTCTTGTCTGGTTTTCGTCCGACATCTCACCTCGTTTGAATGGCCTACCATTTTCAGTCTCTTGACTCGAGGTCAGCCACTTAAATTCTTTTACTACTCCAACTGTGGGTTAAAAATCAGTGTTATACCTCAGGGTATGCGATTTATGCTGGGAGATCTCGGTGTGCATTGAAATCGGCTTCGCAAGTATTGATGAAATAAAACAACAGTTCGGGCCAGGTATTAAGTCAAAGTGGCTAGTAGTGGAGTCAATTCGATATGAGGCCAAATTCACAAAACGCAAATTTTAGTAACATGGCCACCAATGCGCACATCGTGATTAATATTCCTTACTGATGGTGAGATGTTATTTTGAGCTACTGGAAGTTTACATTACACAAGTTTGTGTGAATGTGTGTTCATTCGTGAGAGTGCAATGGCAAGGCGCTTCTAAAAGTGGACTGTGCAAGTTTTTGGGCCTCGCGTAAGCCTATCCGTCTTTCCATGTATTTGTAAATGGAGAAAGGAGCCAGCAAATCGACCAATTGAGTCACAGGTAATGAGCTGCATCAAAAGATGTTCTGGAACCAATCCACGAAACCTCCGCACATTTAATGTCCATGATTCGAATTTCTCCCAATGCTTTTGACATATCCCAAGGTTCGGATGAGAACTTAAGCCCCTGTTGGCTTCCTTGGTGCCGTCTTCTTTCTGTTTTAGGCTACATTAAATTTGCAGCTTTAACGTTATCAGTTCACAATCCATATTGTTTACTTTAGTGATATTCACACACGTTATTACTAGTCGATCTTCTGACTCCGGCTCTGCATCTCACAAATTGACTCATTCGCTCTCTTACTGATACCTACTCATACGCCATCATTAAACACAGCTCATCTACTCCGCCTAGCGTAAAAAATTTTCAAGCCTGTTCCGACTACCGAGGTCGTTGAGAGCATCCATCTGGTTGAGTGTGGTTTTACACCCCGATGGCAAGTTGTTGATCCACAGAGAAAGCCATTACCAGCATTGAACAGGCTTCATTTGGAGAAATGTGGTTGAAGTCTCGTAAACAAAATATAATGACGGAAATTCAGCAATTGTGTGCTAGCAATGCGCACTTCGAAGATGTACAAAGCCTGATGATGTGTGGATAGTCACCCAGCGGGTGTAGGTCCCAAGGTATTGCTTCCGACTGAACTGTTTCATCCTGCGCTGCATGGCGTCACGCATATTCAGATTATCATAACGTTGGTTCAACTTCACCAATATTGATTGGCTAAACGGTGTGTTGCATCAGGCCAGCACAACGGCTCCAATGCTGCAGACATGGTCATCTCGTGTGCATCAAATCGGAGTCAAAGGGCTTGTCTCAGCTAGTCACTTACCAGATAAGGACTGGAGAACACTTCAATAAGTGTTGTTTAGGAATTGTGGAATGTCAAGAAAAATTTGTTGCTTTGGTCAAATCAACGATAATTGTGAACTCTCTTCAGAACAGTGATGCTAATGTCGCGGATTGTCAGATTTTTTCGGGGTCTAGCGTGAGTCTAGTCTGTGAAATTAGGGGACTTTTGAAGAATGGGTTGGAAAACTGGTTTGGTAGGGTTGTGTAAATTTGAATGCTGAAGATACAATATTGTGGTGCAGAGTTCTCGATACTACTACGGATGAAATGACGGCGTGTAACTGAGGCTGCATTGTTGGTTGTTAGTTGGTGGAACCTCCTGATCTTGGCGCCAAAATCAACAAAGTGTACAACATCTGGATAATGGCATGCGAACCCGTGAATTACCAATTTTATTTGCCAAATCAAATACACGATACTGTCGACAGGGGTTAAGTGTGATAGAGCCTCTGAAGGCGTCATAACCGTTCGTATAGGCGGTGATGACCCAACTCTACTTCACACGTAAGGATGCTGACTATCGTGCAATGGTGTACGTATGAAGAACTGACAATAATTGGTCTAATGTACCAAGTATTTGTAGACCCATGTCCAGCCCAGCAGACAGTCATCCAGCAATACGCAATCACACTAGCCAAGTCAGTGGACCGAGCGGTTTGCCTGTCCATAATGGCAACTAGGGGCGGCGATTCGTGCACTGTCATGTTTAAAGAAATGGAATAATGCATTCACTAGACCATTGCTTTCTTAATGCTGTCACTGGCTTTCTGGATTATTGGCTGTGTGAGAATCTTAAAACAATCATTTTAAGTAATTCCAAATCCTTAATAAGCGGATATGTTAACATTTCGACCTATTATTAGTCTCCTTTGACATAAAGAATGAAATTGAATGTTAAATGATCTGATGAGTAATTAAAGTTCCGAAAATTGAGTTTAGTTTCTGTAACCACTTTTTCTATGATGGATTGTACCACAATTTGCCTTCAAAAGCTTTTGAATTATTTGAACTCTGTAGCTGAAAATTCTTTCGATTACATCGAGATACATGAAGTCACTGTTTAACGTAGCAACCATCTCATCACACTGTATTGATTTCCTCTACTTATCTATTTCGATAAGTGAATCGAAATAATACCTTTAAGTGTCAGTGTATATGGATGACAAGTCAAATTACCCATGTGTTGAATAGTCATTTAATAATATCAACGAACCCGACGTTTGCAAGGCTAATACTTATCATTGTATTGATATCTGTTCCCAAGCTTCGTAACTGTTATTAAATTTTTATATACAATGCCATTAATTAATCATCTACTGCTTAAAACTCGTTGTATTTATGCATTTTCCCGAGCTTTTTCGGAATTTTACAAATTTAATTTGGTAGCTATGCGACGGAGGTTTAAACTTTTTGTTAGTAACTTTACTCTAAATATTTAGCTATGTAAAAAAAACTTTTACAAATTAAAATACCTCTATTTGATTAAAAATTAAATATCAGTTCAAATATTCAGAGCATGTACAAATAAAAGCAAATTAACAAGTTTTGAATGTAACTGAAAGGCTAAACTTTTTAGTCGAAATTGAAGACATACCTTTATCACAAGAGTCACACTTCCATGCGCCGTCTGACAAGTCTTTGAGAATAAAGATTTGGCCATGGTATTTCTTATGTAGATATATCGACAGATCTCTTTGATCGACAGTATTATGCTAACAAAACTTAAATTTCTTATAACGACATGCATTTTAAAAAGTGAAATTATAAACTGTCTAAATTGATATACAAGACAGGCATATTCAATGACAGCGTCTACTGATGGTGCTTCTAGCCATTTTCTTTAAAAGTAATGGATCGCGCTCGTGGTTTTTCTGTGTACAGATGCGTCATTGTAACAACGTCTGCTTGCTGTTCTCGGTCTTGAACCACAAATGTACAACAATATACGGGGGTCGAAATAGCTATTGTATCATCATAGTAAACATTCTGGCAATCATCGAAAAAATAATCTTCCTTAACTACGAATTTCATTTTGACAAAAAAACATTAATGAATGTCGAGAGACAGCGAGCAAGAATATCTCAAATTCAGGAAAATCAATAGCCTCTAGAGAATTTTTAAATTAACTAACACAGACTCACTAAATACACAATTACATTGTGTTGAAATTTTGCGAATATAATATAAAATTTAACTTTTAGCGAATCCGTTCATTAACCAAATGTAGCACGATGCAGTACAAGTCAAGATTGCAAATGGCATTTCATAAAACAAGGTGTTTAAAGCTGAAAAATTTCTGCCAGAGGATCCTAGTTGAATTAGAATATAATTTTTTTTTATACGGCAAACTCTTTATTCTAGTCTGCACCAAGCAGTACACTTGATTTATTCAGACTTAAATTTTGATATTACCGCATTTCAATGTAAGGAAATTTTATTTTCAAAGCACCAAATGGCTCATAATGCGGGCAAGTTGTGTGCTCTAAATTGAGTTTTAATAAATCATACTTGTAACTAAATTAATCAGATTTCACTACTCAAAATATATGTCAAAAATTTAATTGTTCTCTGTCCAAGATTTTTAAAGAAAAATTTTACCCGGTGTTGCAGTTATCTATTGTGGAAACACAGATAATTTTTATGCATTTTGCACTATCAATCAAACCATTTTTCACAGCTTTACTATTAAATCTAAAAGGCATTTATCTTGGCTTAAATTGTTGGATTCACTCTGAATTTACTGCCGTTCGCCACGTATATACAAAGGCCATTGTTTTAGTTCTAAAACATAGGACTTAAAAGATGTAGTGTTGTAAGAAAATCGACAACATGAGTAGATGTTCACCATATTACTTTGCACCACATAAATATACTTGCAATGACCTTAAGCTTCCCACTCTTTTTAAAACTGTACGCTCGTGCTTGGATACGCACTTTTCCACAAATGTCGGTATTCTATAGTCACAAGTTAAAGAATATTTCTGGACCTGTCACGAACGTAACATGGCATAGCTTACAGTCTCTTCTTGCTATTGCGTGTTGCGCACGGAGTAAAAGTTCCGAACTATATATTTTTGACCGAAATGTAACATGATTTAATTTCTAACCTGCAGACACCCACTGTTAAGATTAGGCTGCAGTATGATAAATCAATTTGCTTATTGTCGTGGCATCCTGTGGAACCAAAACTTGTTATTGGTTGGAAAGAAGGTGGCTTGTCTATTATTGATGTCTTGAAAAATATATCACACAGTGTTGAGAGTGAAGTTTATCAAATGTCGACTGTCCTTTGGTCTCCAAAAGGGTACTTTTTGCTTGGTGCCAGCACCACTGGCCAACTGTTCCTATATGTTTTACCAAACATGGCACCTCAACCCGAGCGGATACATTTAACGTCCTCTGAAATAATGGTTTCATCTATTGAACTATTCGGACAGTATTGGTTTGCTCGTTCTTATTACGATTTTGAAGTTTAGCTTAAAAGGCAAAAACTCCTCTTCTATTGACGGTTTTAAGTGTCACCCCCGGAATGCCATACCGGTGGAACAGCCTCTTGAGACCGCAATTTTTCTTGGCGGCTGTTCTGATGGTAAATTTTACTACTCATACGTCACCTTGCATGGTAGGGCGTGTCATACGTGTTGCTGGTGAGATTTGTTTGATGGGTCGCAATACAGAAACTAGAACTGAACGACTTTCGGTGTTGGCTCAGTGCAACGCTCCAGTTCTGCAACTGCTAGTTGATCAGAAACACAAGGTTCTCCTCGTCATAACCAAGGAAAACATGTTGATTGAGTTCAAATTCAATGACGAACATGGCCTCAGCGTAACTGAACTACTTACAGTAAGATATTTATATAGCTAAGAGTTCGGAAGATACAACCAAGAATGCCCCTTTTGTCTACAGCAGTTCTTTCGTGAAAATTTTCATCTTATACCATCTTTTATTTGACTTTGCTTCCATCGCATCTTAAAACTCGCAAATTGCAAATAATTCCTATTATTTTATGTGTACTTAACTGGTATATAATCCAAAAACCTATATTTATAAATATTAAACCATCAAAATGTAACTTTCGTGATTCGAAAACAGTGAACCGTAAATGGAAGTTCTATTAGGGATTAAGTTCGAAAAAGTAATTTTTTTGTCACATTACTGTGAAATTGCAAGCATATACACATGCACCTTAAGTGAGTGATAAAAAATCATTCTAAAATGTTTCCTGTTGTAGCTGAAATTACCGTCTCAGCTAAATGATAAGCCTAGTTTCAGCTGGGCTGGTGAAATGACACTCGCGATGTCACTGGGTGAAAATGTCGTCCGTTTGTGGGATATTGCTAAGTCAGACAATTATACACTTTCTCCAAATGTTCAATCAAATCCATCTCGAAAAAAAGCAGTCATTATCGGAAAGTTGGCATACTGCTCCGAATATCGTAAGCCCAATTGTATCTTGGGTCTATTCAATGATTGCCTCTTTTTAAGCAAACGGTGTATATGACAAAAATTGTGTAAATCAATTCTAGAACTTTTGGCCGCTGGTTTGAACGATGGACAAGTCGCTCTCTGGAAGCGAACTGATAGACGGCGCAGCCAAAAGATGTCGATTTTAGATTGTGATCAACAAAGTCTCTTTTCAGCAACTGGTTCTCAAACTGTAGAGACGGGTTCTAACATTGTCGAACCAGAATCTTGTTGGAAGGCACAATTACCAATTGACTTGCTAAGCAATCACGCTGATGAGCATCTCCGAGAGACCGATGCTGATATTTCTGTCAAAATCCTTTCATGGGACCCTGTCAGGGGAACCCTGGCTGCCTGTTATGGGGTATCAAACTCTGATGATCAAACTGCCGGTGAGTTGCTTTACAGTTAGAAGTATAGCTCTCTCAAGACCTGTAACTAATCGGAAATATTTAAATGGGTGGGCTTAAATTGATTCTTTTTGCTGCTTACTTGTTCAGTAGTACTTGTTTAAATATACTTATGCATTCATGAATTCCACTAGCAAGGCGGTTTTAGGAATATTTTCAAAAGTCTTAGATTCTGCCAGTATGGTGCATTTCAATGCTTGGGAATTAACACCTGATCGCCTTGTAGCTAAGCTAATTATTCATTGGCTATCAAACGCGGTTTCTCAAAATTTCAAGTGACCCATGTTTAAGTTCACTGCTGGAGTTATTTAGTTAGGGATGCCTTGACCAATCACTAATCACCACTTTCAAAACCGGAGCATCAAATGCTAAATCTCTGTTTAAAATAAACTTCGGTAACAGTATGTCTGTTTTTTTCCTATCTACGTCAACAAACGTGCTATCGGATGATCGTTATCTTTGGAAGGTCAACAATTTCAGAGTCATGAACAGATTGAACGGTCAGCCAGTGGGGATTGAATTCAATATAAAAGACATTCAGAAAATAACTTTAGAACTAGTCAAATTTATTAGTAATGACGTCAAGCGTGACGTAATGTATTTGACTTAAAATACTTTCTTGTGTGTTAGCCCACCGGGAAATATATTGGCACGAAAAGGCCAAATTAATAACAGTCGTCTTCTTGTGTCTTTAGGTGAACTCGGAGAAGAGGGGAGTGAGCCTCGCGTTTTTTCGGCCTTTATTCTCCACCAACAACCACTCTGTGCTAATCTTGGTGGCGGCGGAAGTGCTCTAGTCCAGATCTCACCTCAGTGTCTGGCAGTCTTTTCCTCCAACCAGACGCAGTTCGCTAAACCGGCTGGACTTGACCTCGTCTCGATGCGAAACACACTGCCTTCAGGGTCGTCCGTTGCATCCAGCTTTGCTGAACCCGTAGAGTCTACTGAGAGCAAAATTTACGTTGAGGAACAGCTACGGGCTGCATTTTGCACTGCGGTATGTGCTTACTAAGGGGAATTTAAAAACACAAAACGCACGGCTTCTTGAGTATTATAATTGTCAGAATATTATCAGTATTATCTCAAATCGACAATGCAATCTACTTGACAGCATCTAGGCCAAGTCATTATTCCACCTGCCCTAAAGTTAAAACACTTGCGCAAAATACAATTTCTAAAGCACCAAATAATTCCCGGCCATTTCCTGCTGTGATTAGCTTAAATATTGACGGTCTCTTCCAGTTGCAGAAGATAACTGTTTCACTTCTCATTAGAAGCCATGAATTAGGGTTAGGCGTTAGTCTCACACAAAATGGGCCTTTTAATTCAGATCTGCGTGGTAATTAATTATTGTGACTTTATGCAAAGATTGGAACCTCTGGTATCACAACAGTTTTATGACCAGCGATTTTCTTTTTTGGGCTCCGATCAACTTGCGCCAATTGAGATCCTTACAAATGGTCTCAATTTGAGCTCACTCAGGATCATGTTGCGTTGTAATAAATCAGTCTGAGCTTTGTTGTCTGAGGTTTACTACTTAAACCTCTGCTGCATCTGTCACCCTACTTGACATATTCCATCAGTATTTAATGTTATGGCTTGACAAGTAGTTGCTTGTGGATTTCACAAACACCGCGTTATTTTTAAAGAGCTTTCATTATTGTCGTGGTTTTTTTCATTTGCAATTTAGAATTGCCTGGTTTTGATTGGAGCTATTGCTTTAAGATCGAGTTCAAAAGTGGATTTTTCCGACCAGTTTTAATTTTTAATTTCTGCAGAGGCAAGAAAGCCTCTGAGGCTCCCGAAGAAATAGCTAAAGTTTGTTTGATTTGAGTGCTTGATAGAACGCACGTAAGAAATTCTGTGTTGCAGGTGCTTTGTTTAAATGTGGTCAGCGTTCTGGTCAACCTGCTGATGTTGTTGATGATCAGAGCAAGGCCAAAATTGAATTGGATCGTGGTCATGTAACTGTGCGAGAGATTGTGGAGATCTTCAGTGTATCACAGAAGAGTAGAAACTCACTTCAATTTCAGCCTCGTCAACAAATTCGACGCTTGGGCTCTGCATAAATTGAAGGAAGATTTCTTAACCCAATGAATCAATATTTACGACATACATCTCAAACTAAACGAAGTTGGCAATTTCTCCCACTACTTATTTTAAATTCGTCTGCAATAAAACCAACCAAAAATTGTCATGATTCAAGCGTGACGGACCAAATACAAGCCAAGTCGAATGCTGCATTACATCAAAAGATCATGCTGTCAATTTGGTAGCATAACAAAGGTGTTGTGTAATCTGAGCTGACACTTGATAATTAATTAAACTGGGTTAAGAAACAGTAAAAAAATGGCCAGATATGCAAAATCACAAGTGACCAGGAAAATGCAAGGCCTCATGCATTTCTGGTAACTCGTGAAAATTTGCAGAGGCTTGGTTGGGAGGTGAAGCTGCATCCCCCATGTAGGGGACTCTGACACTGAATCACCAAATTACCACTTAGTTAGGAATTTGCAACCCTATTTGAATGGAAGTGCTTTTGCCGGTGTTGGCGACCAGAAATTTAGCTTGGTTCTGATTTTTCTGATGAGAACCAGAAGTCATGAAGCTGACGGGAGGACGGTATGATATCATTGGACAAAATTGCAATAATATAATTGATTTAAGTTCGTTAATTGTACATAAGTTTGAGTTTATTTCGCAACTCAAAATTACATTACTTTTTCGTCAATATAATACCATTCAGAATTGATTTATGGGGACTATTTTAATCATTCACTCCGAAATTTGGATTTTTGCTAAATATCGGTACTCGTAAGCTTTGAGAATAGACCAAACAGAACACTTTCCCAAGTAAGATTTTTAACTTTAAGCTAAAATTCATTATTTGTAGACGGACTTTAGACTAGAGCAATCTGCGAACATGAATTTATGGCCTTAAATGAACCTGTCTACATTAGTTTGGAATTGAAAAGTATAGGCATTTGTACTCCCCCATGGTAAAATCATCTTGTAACTGGTGTGAATGTGGTGATCGCATTAAACATGCTTGCCAAGGAACCGTCCGCGGTCTGCCATAATCTTTCTGGCCACACCATATCATTAAGGCTTTAACTACTTATTCCGTGTGGATTCTTTTCAAGGAACTTGTTGCTGTTTGGAACGGCCGGCAGGTGCAGGTTTACAAGCACGGCTTTTCACAGGACATTTCTCCGTTTTGTAAGTTCGTGTTTTGGTTACTGCAAAGTCAATTGCTCTTTTCCAGTCCTGTTTTATCCGTTTTTCTCTGCCAATTAAGCCGCATTCATTTGCGAGTTTGAGCTCATTGGGGTTCACGGGCAATGCATTTTGACCAAGGAGGAGCACAAAATCCAGGTCAGAAGCGTTCAGGTGGGTTTCATTCTGTGATGACATCAAACACACAAATCTGCCACCCGCCTCAACACATTCATCAGTCATTTGTGTGTGAGTGGTTTGTGTTCGCCTTTTAGGGAACGGTTAAACAATTAATCAATTTTACGGAAACTGAGGGTCTGATTTCACTAACTTCAGTCTGCAACGGCTTCCTGGCCTGTCTTACGGAATCTGGCTTTCTAAGAACGTTTGATTTAACAAAAAGGCTAGTAGTCTACACTTGAGCTAAAAATTGTTGGCTTAAAGCTGCTTTCTATCCATGTGTTTTTGCAATTTACTTCAGAGAAGTCAGACAAATGAATTTGTCGAAAATGATTAGCAGCGTTCTCCCGCCAGCCATTAGCTCCGGTTTGGCTAACGGAGATTCTCAGCCGCCGCGGCTGCACGTCTCGTGGCTGTCGGTAAACAATAACGCATCGGCTGTCGCCTTCAGTTTGCTCAAAGCCCCAACCTCTGCTCCCTTCGGCTCTTCAACGACGAACGGGAACATTAAACTGCAGTCCAATGAGAAATCTACCGCCTGTGTAGCGCCTCAGCCGGACTGGAGGCTTTTTGTTTGGCAAATCGATTCAGACCGTGTGCAAGTTTTCGACTTTGCCACCGGGGAGTGCACGCCTCTGCAAAGTAGTCGTGAAACGCAAAACGAGGAGGGAGCAGACGCACGAGGTAACAATGTGTGTCTTCTAAGAATTAACCGGCCTCTGTCTTGGAGCTGATCGGTCGCTGAAGGCACAAATGTGGTTTCAATTAAGGCAGTTGATTGGAAGATTCAATCATCCTTTTGTCTTATTCTGTCCAATTTCCAGCATTTGGAATCGGTTGATTTAGCTCTGACTCCGCCTTTCAATTCAAACAATTTTAAAGCTCACACAGTGCTAAATTGCATTTTTAAAAGGCACAATAGAGGCACTACTTGCAGTGTCAGGTAAGAGGGAATGTCAGCCTTATGGTGGCACAAAATTAAGAGTAAAGAACACAAGCTCAATTGGTTGCCATGATGTGTCAAATTCCCAATCTATATTTAGAATGTGAAAACAAGCCACCTTCAAACATTGCACAGGCATCCTCAGAAGTAGTTCGCGATCACTACCCCATACGACACTACTGGGACCTCTATGACCCGCGTCTGTTGGTTGTGGAGGCCGCACGGTTGCCTCACGAAGCCTGCCCCGTCCCGTTGGCTGGCGTGGAGGCTGGCACAGCCACTGCAACCACCAGCACCACTGACGCCTCATCGCTGGACGAGACCTTTGAAACCACTAACGACTCTCACCGGCAGCACAAACGACCACTTTCCCGAATTTCAGCTAATTCAAATTCTGAGTGTTTCAGTTCTGGCCCGATGAAGCCCTCTGAAATGGCCACAGTAAGATGAAATTTGTCTATCTTTTAACTGTGATTTACATTTGATCGGATCACTTTTTGGTTTTACCGTTCTTAGTCACGGAATATAGTCGTCTCCTTTTTTGTCAGTCCGGAACAAAACTGCATGATTGTTCAGGAGTCCTTCCATCTTTCCTCTCACCACGCATCGCTGATTGGCGTCGAAGTGCCGTATTTCTACTTTTCTGTTGAGGTGGGTTCTGCATCGCAGTTGTGGCCTGCCGTCCTGACAGTACAGCCGGCGCTCGTACACATTTTGGTTTAGCCTTGCATTTAGAAAGCACACCACGACAGATTATAAAGTTAGCTATACTACTGCAGTTATCTTTAATAGCGATTGCGAAAATACTAGACATAGCAGTATAGAATGTGGAAAAATTAAAACCCGATCGTAACGTTTATTAACAATAGATTTTTGACTTGAACGGGACACCGATGTGTTTCATTATGCTATGAAATTCAAAACGAACAAGAAATGGTTTGAATTGTGTACATGGTGGCAACAGGAGAATGGAACGGAATGTCGCTAAAGTGTATTTCAATGACCTCTGTCACCGTGCCACACCTGTAGGCAATATTAAACCTCATGTTTGCATGCAAGCACCTGTTTCAGTTTCAGTCTAAAAGCTGCTGTATAGCACAAATTCAAACGACTTTCAATTATTCGCCAAACCATTTAAAAATGTCAATTTCGGAGATTTTTGGCCAGTGTAGGCACTGATGTTTGACTCTATGCACCCAATTTTCCTTCAATTCTCAAGGTAAAAATGTGGCCGCACATTTTTTTGCAATGAATCCCATAAACAGACATGTTAATTGCCGATGTATACTGTTTAAATGTTTTACGGTAGTTAAAAGAAATTTCTCAATGTCTTATCTCATTTAGACGTCTGATACGAAAGAGGCTATTGAATCGTTTTGAGTTGTTTTAAATCAAGCAATATTTGGGTAAAACTCCAGTCTTTTTCCCTATCAGCCCGATTTTGCACGATCCCAGGCCGTCGATGTGCAGACAAACATGGGCATAAGAGAAACCGGCGAGGCGAGTCTTGTGCCGACCAGGGATGATGAGGATGGCGGCGGCGACGGGGACAAATCCGCCTTGGTGTCGCACCACCTGAGTCGTCACGTGATGCGCGACTTCCATGGCCTGGAGGGCGCTGACTCGATGACACGCGAGGCCATTCTCAATTTCAGCTTTTACCTCGCCCAAGGCGAGATGGACACGGCCTTCAAGTCTATGAAGCTGATTCGCAGCACCGCCGTATGGCAGGTAGCTCAAAATGCAGCCACATCATGCAGTCGCGGTGGTGTGTACAAAAATACTCTTGTTCCTTTTCTTGCCCCCTCAGAATATGGCCAAAATGTGTGTCAGCACACGACGGTTAGACGTGGGGTTGGTGTGTCTGGGCAAAATGGGCAATGCGTTTGGCGCTGCGATGGTGCGGCAAGCGCTCAAATCTGAAAGCAGTCTCATCGCTCAGACCGGAGAGCTGGCACTTCAACTGGGCATGACGGTAAGTCTATCTCGATGATTTAAAGGGTATTCGCATAAGGACTTATTCACCAATGTTCTGTTGGCAGCGTGGATTTTCTTAGTGCTGTTTATTTGCTTTTGTCAAAAGCGCCCACCACGTGTGAAACAAATACGAGGTCATAGAGGCCCCAAAGTAGCATTAGCCAGCTAGAAATAATCACGATTGACTTAACACATTCCATTTCTCGATGTTACTGTACATTTCAGTGTGAACAGGATTCCTACCTAGTCGCCGCGAGCCGGCACACAAGTGCACTAAGTGAGATAGACCGCTTTAATTTAGTCTTGATATCCTTCTGTTTTGTTGCAGACCGAAGCCGAACGTTTGTTTATTGAATGCGGGCGTTGGGACTTGGTGGTGCGGCTCCATCGGTGCTTGGGCCACTGGGAGGAGGCTATTCAGGTGGCGGAGAAGCATAATCGCGTGCGTCTGAGAAATACGCACTACGCCTATGCAATGGAGTTGAAAAAACAGGACCACATTAATGATGCTGCCAACCAGTAGGTGGTGGTGACGCACTCTAACCCTTATCCTAGCTTCATCCAATCCAACACGCACCTTGTCGAGGTGCCACGAATGCTCAGAGATTCGCCAGAAAAGCTGGAAGAATTCATAAAGGCTCATCCTAACAGGTACTTACTGTGGTGTTAGTATATGCGTTTGCGTTAATCACAGGGAGCTCCAACGTTGGTGGGCACAAAGCCTAGAAGCTGAGGGACTGCTGGAGGAGGCTGAGGTCTACTACACACTCGCGAAGGACTACCTTTCCCTCGTACGGATTTACTGTTGTCTTAATCGTGAAGACGCCGCCCTGGCGTTGTGTAATGAAACGGGCGATGCCGCTGCTTGCTACCATTTAGCACGTCAATTAGAGGCAAAGAAGAACGTTGACCATGCCATTCATCTTTACACGCGCGCACGGGCTTACTCCTGCGCCATACGACTGTGCAGGGTAAGATTTTGCAACAAAAATACGTTTTACTGAAATATTATCAGTAGCATGCTTGGCTGATTTAAAAAATATTGCAAATTACAAGCTGGATCCCGAAGACATTATTATGAGCCAACTGTAGGTGTGCTGTCAGCCTCAGACGTGGAATTCCAGCATTAGGTACAGCATGGGTTGAGATTCCAGAGGAGCAATTTTGTCCCGCTTTCAAGTTACAATTACATTTATATGATCTATCAAAAACTCACGAAAATCGCTGGACTGTCGATGCGCTAAAAGGTGAATCGTGTTGATTCAATCGCATCAACTCTGTCGCCTCAATCTTTCACACACCGCCACCTTTTTACGGGCTAATTTGGCGTTCTAGGTCTCTTAATAAAAAATTCGTTTTACTTATGGTCAACAGGAATCGTGGAATTAGACGTCGGTGTTAAAGTAGCCTTTGTGATTTCGTGACATGGCGATTGTGAATTTATGATCTTAGCCAACCCGCGTTCACCAGGCTTTGTGAAAAACACGATGCTCGAAATCCAGGGACCCTTTTCCAAATAACTTTTGCCATAACAGAATAGATACTGTGTAACTAATCAGGTTAAGATAAATTTTATAGGCAAAATGATGGTTGCTTGTGGGACATAATGGTATGTTAGTCCAACTTCGCAATTCAATGGCTGGATAAGTTTTAATAAACTACACCAATGTGTAATGTGCATCGAAATAACACCGGAGGTTTTACTAATCTGGAGGATTTCTAACCTTTTTCTGTTTCATCTACTAAAAGGAATACAATAGAAACGAGCATCTTTATAGTCTTGCACAATTGGCGGCGCCGGATGACATGCTTGATGCAGCTCGTTACTTGGAGAGGCAACCAGGCTTTGAGGAGAAGGCGATTCTGCTTTATCAGAGGGGGGGCCAGCTAAACAGGGCGATTAATCTGGCTTTCCAGACACGCCAGTACAATGCCCTTTCTAGCATCTCCTACTGCATTGACGCCAACTGTGATCCAGATCTTTTGCGGAAATGTGCAAACTTTTTCCTGCAAAACAGTCAGTTTGAAAAGGCTGTTGAAATTCTAGCCATTGGACAGAAGGTAAGTCGGTTCATGTAAACCTGTGGTGCATAGTTTTCTGGCTTTACGCAACAACACCATTACTCATCGAACTCGCCATGTCGTGAGCAGGAATTTGATTATGGGCTTGAATTCCCCCAATTATCCTTGTAAAGGGAAATTAATTTACCACCTTTTCAAGTATGAAAATATTTGAATTTGGCGGTTTTTGTGTTGCTTATGCTGGTGTGCGTCAAAGTGATGTAGTGCACAGAACAAGCACACTAAAATGCCTGGTTCGTGTGAAACTGAGCCGAATGACGAATTCTGCTGCACAAACAAAAATCCTGCTTGTGTGAAAGACAAACTGAACGGTGTTTACAAAAAATTCTAACCGTAACACAGAAGCTCGGATTGGTAGCCAATAAAAGCTGTTTCGACCAATGGACTGTAAGAGGGTAATTGAATTGAGGTAACAAGTTGCATGTTGTCACCCAAGGATCCCTTGCCTATCAGGCTAAAATTATCAGTAATCTAATTGCACTGTCCATTGCATACATGGTGGCACGTTTCAATGCTATTTTCAAGTGGGCGGAGGCGGTACAACTTTGTTCTGATTATGACGTTACAATAACTGATGACCTGGCTGAGAAACTGACGCCACCCCCTGAGGCAACCTCGGTTGACCGGAACGAGGTGCTCACGCGCCTAGGATACCACTGTCTCACTCAGGGACACTACCACCTGGCTTGTAAAAAGTTCACGCAAGCGGGCGACCGTGTCAGTGCGATGAAGGCTCTGCTGCGCTCCGGTGACACCGAGAAGATCATCTTCTTTGCCAACGTGAGCAAACAAAAGGATATCTACATAATGGCTGCCAACTACTTGCAGACACTAGATACGTGGCGGACAAAGACCGACATCGTCCGGCTAATTGTCCAATTTTACACACGAGGAAAAGCACTCGATTCACTCGCCTCGTTTTACGAGGCTTGTGCTCAGGTAACGCGAACTGTCTGTGCTTTTTTCTATATCTAATAATGCCTAATCAGCGTAGCAAATACCCATGGAGAGCCTCAATGCTTTTCAACAAGGATATGTAGATTAGCTGCTCCTTCCAATGTGATCTAATAAAAATCAGATAACCAGTTAATTGGTGTGGACCTAACTCCTAAACAACATTTTTACTGGCTCAGTCACTTGTTCTGATTTTGTCTGTTTATATGTTTGATTCATTCAGAAATACTGATCCCCAAATGCTCTTCAACAGCTATCCGACATATTTTTCCATCAGCACTGCCACTTCAATTGGTTCTGTACAAACGAAACCATGCCACAAGTCACCTGGGCTTTCGTTTTTCCAGAGAGCGTTTCATGCTCAGGCGCTATGATGAAAAACGGAGTGATGAAAATAGGCGAAATGAAGAAGATCGCCAAAGTGTAGTAGAGGAGCTGGAACTGCAGCACTGGTCGTGTCGTGCAAATCACATCCATTCCATTTTTAAATTGTCATTTTTTGAGTCATTTGTTCTAATTTTCAAGAAAAAAGCGAATTTCAAAATAGTCTTGATCTATTACTTCATCAGTCCACCAAGGGTCGTTCTCGTTCGGCTAAATCAACATCAGGTAGAATTATTTTGAAAATCTCGCCACTTTTTTTATTTGCTACTGATGAAATAAATGAAATTTTCGTTCAAGTTCGGGTTCTAATGGATTAGTGGTATGGAATGTACTTTGCAATCTTTCACCTTAGCTTCGGTTTTCAATCATGTACACTTTAATCAAATTGTCTTCTCTGCCCTAAAATCATGCACTTCGAACACTTAGAGGTGATCAATTTTTCTTCTTTGCTTAAATTCACTTTCCCCTTATTTTGATATGCGTTAATTCGACTTTCCCTTTACTCCTGTTATTTACCCCGAAACTGCTACCCCAGCAACCCACTGTTACCCAATGAAATTCAAAAGTGGCTTCTGCTATACTACTTTATGCGGACACACCATGTTGATCTAGAGTTACGGTGCCTTTAGGACTCACATTTTTTATTGATGCTTCTCCAACTGTTCAACTGCATCTTTACCAGTGTGCATGTGCCAAGTGTGGACACCAGAAGGTCTGATGTTTCGATGGCATTTTCCAGCAGTTTCTTAACTCAACTGAACAATACCATTTAGATGGAAATCGAGGAATTTCACAGCTACGAAAAGGCCATGGGCGCTCTTACCGAAGCCTACAAAGCGATGTCTAGGGCTGCTGCACATGCAGCCGATGCCACAGACATGAAAATTGATCCCCGTCTAGAGCAACGACTCATCACCATCAAGTCAAAGATTCTGCTGTGCAAGCAGTTTGTGGAAACACAGCTGTAAGTTGGTATACTTTTGGTCTTGTGGCTTTTCTTGTTGAAAACAAAATCAAATTCTTTGGATGTTTACTCCACTCTTCTAGAAAAAGCTCTAACCGTTGATCTATATGCGTTAATCCTGGCACAGCAGTAGATTGACAGTGATTTGCTCCTGGTTCGGGTGAACGTGTGTTTTTTCGATCCGAGTAGTGCTTTCAGGCTCAAAGACACTGCTTAGGGACTTTGTGTAGACACTAACTCCTGGTCTAAGCACAAACCACGGATCTTTTTAGGTTGTTTGAGGAGGATCCAATGGAGGCCTTGAGCCAATTCCAGGCAATGCTTGAAGAACCCGAAACGTCGAAAATTATTCGTCCCGGAGACATTTATGCCGCAATGATCCGGAAGTTAGTTGATAAGGAGCACTATAAGGCTGTAAGTTATCCGTTGTTTATGGTTCCAGGTCAGTTAGTTTTCGTGTTAAAAACTAAAGGATTCCAAATGTGAATCGCTGAAGGGAAAATAGATCGAAAATGATTTAACTGATCGGTTAGCAAGCGGTTACATCGGATTGAATTAGAATTACTCATTCCCTGTTCAAAACAACTGAAACCAGGAGCTTGTTACTGTTTTAAGTCTATGCTAGCACCTAATGTAGAGTTCTTTCTTGTGTTAATTTGAAATGAAAGTAGTACACAATTAGACGAACAATTCGCTGATCTAACATCTCTTAATACACCTAGAAGAGGCGTGGGGACTACCAGTGGGTAATCAAGTGAAGGTGCTTATGTTATATGTGTGGCTATTTAGATGTGCCGTTCTCTGCGACAGAAATAATGTATAGAAATATAAAGTCAAGTTATTACCGATGCTGATGACCTAAAATCTGAATCAAATAACACCTTGAAGTCAACATTAGATTGATTTTATCGCATTACATTTTTTGTCGACCGACTCACTCAAACGACCAATTTTCATTCACTCCTCTGCGATCCTTTATTAGGCCAAAGAAGACGGGTCATGCAATCCTCATGCACTTAATTCCTTGTTGATACGAATTTATCCCATCCTTTCAGTGTCTATTCCTTCGATTTGCCGATGTACCTATGTCTAGTTCCCAACCGGAGTATTTTCACTTGAGCGAAAGCACTAAATTTTAGTGACTCAACTTCGAAACCAATCAAACGTTTGTCTGCTCTACTCCCTCATGACCTACTCATGATGTCAAGATAGTTTAAGTAACTGTTGAGGTCTGTAGAGATGCTTTCATACCATTTTATCTATAACTTCAAATTCTGTAGGCCTATACCTGTCTGCAGGATATGCGAGAGAAATTAGGTGGTCGCGAGGCTGTTTCGCGTTACTTAGACAAGGAAACTCAAGTTGCCATCTTCCGTGCACTTGATATGCCCACGTCAAGGCCCTCAGATTCTCGAGGAAGTTCAAGCAGTGAGCAAAGAGAGATGAATGGTGGGGAAGATGAAGAGTCTATTGAGGACAACGTCGAGGCTACAACGGGCAGCGACAATGACAATATTGATGATAAATATTTGTAGAGAAATAGAAAGTGTGAAATAGTTAGTTGAAAGCAACATTTTATTGACAAAAAATTGGAATATAGAGGGGCAACTATCGACCAACTCATTAGCAGCAGGTGTGTAAATCACTGACCAAATTAAATTCTGTGCATAAGGAAAAATTAATAAAAACAGCAAAAATGAAACACGCTGAAAGACAAAAAATAGGGAGTAGAGGGCTGAACACAAGAAATGAAACGAATGCAAATAAAAGTGGGAAAAAAATTATAGACAATGTATAATCAAAATTAGCAAGAGACTGAAAACATCATCTATACTTCAATTTGAGGTTTGAATTATGGTCTTAAGTCTTTCCTTTTATCTTTTTGATTCTATTTTTTATTTTGATTTTTTGTCACATCCAAATCATGGTATTTTCTACTTAACCTTTTTTGCAAATATTCTTTTACTTAACATATTTTATATTTATGCAAATGTACTAAGAAGCTTTTCTGAACAACTTAGTTACAAGTTAATTGTAAGAGAATTATGCTCACATTATAACAGACCACGACAATCTCCCACGATTTTGTTGTTTTTTGCTGTATGTCTAATTAGTAAAAGCGGTTGAAATACCCAATCTATTAAAAGAAAAATTATAATTTTTTTTTATAAAAAATCCAAATGAACAGGAGACTAAGGGCAATAATAATAATAAATAAGTGTTGTCGGAAAGTCTATGTAGCCTTTCAAAAATTTAGATGTAATGAAAAAACTTTCCCAATATCAGCAGCGTTGTAGCATAGTCGACAGAGTATTCTGATCCTTAGTTTTATTTGAAAGAAGTTTATTAAGAAGGAAGGCTCAGGAATGGACCCGATATCTCTAATGTAAGCGATGCTTAAATGAATGGTAGACACTTTTTGAGGGGTGAGTACATTTATGTGTAAGTCATTAAGTTAGATAGTAATAGCATTTATCGCTAGAGCGATCGCAGAATAAAACCGGAGCATAAAGTTAGCAAGATGAACACAAAATCGAAGGTACCTTGATTGCCGAAGCTGACGAAGAAAAGTAGCATTCATGACCAGACTTTCATACCACCTGTGTTTTTTTAAATTAAGATTTAAGTGGTGTTCTCTACATTAATTGGCATAATCAAGGTGAGTTCTTATAAATGATCTTAAGCTCGCAAACTTATCTTGATGAAATGAGTCTTCATTTACGTGAGAATGAATTTAGCATCCTTCCTTGTGTCTCTGACTGCACCGTTTACCCGAAAATGTGTTCTATGAATTCCCTATTGCATGTGAATTATTCTTTAAAATGAATCACAATAGTAAGTTTCACTATTGTGCGATGACCTAAATGTACACTCTATGCTTCCAATCGCATGAGGACTTGATGTTGATTTCCATTACCAAGGTCTGCCTTTCAGAATGTACGTCAGCATTAAACTACTGCCGTAATTATGGATCTTTTACTCTTGTTTCTATATGTAAATCACTTTTTGCACGATAGCCATTGATTTTCGTGGTCAAGGAAAGCTTCGCCTGTTTGATAAAGATGAAATAAGATTTATCAATTAACAAATATTTGAATACCAATCCTTATTCATCATAGTCTAAACAAAAATCTTCTGCTTACAATTCAATTCTTAAGGCGAATTTTATGGTTATGATCTATTTGTCTTTCGCTGTTATAATTTTATGATTTCACGGCAACATATTATAGCCAGATATGATTGCACTCAGCATTTGTATGGACAGCAAATTAGTTTTAGGACCTGCTTTATAACTGTGCCACCTTCATGATTAATTGCTAATATTTCAAAATTACAAAATGAAAAAAAATGTATGAGAAAAATACATGATATTTGTTTACCCTACTAGTGAATGTCAATATTGGAAGGAACTTTGTTTTAGCCGTGATGGTGTTTCTTGTATCCATCAATATTACAAGAAGTAATTAATACTCAGCAAAGCGCATGCAAAATATATTGACAAAATTACTTGTTGTTATTGTTAAACTTGGTGATGGTTTTAATATGTTCGGAACCACCCGCGGGACTTGAGTCTTTTTTGCATTAATCATGACTGCGAGGTATGATCGTGCAATCACCGTATTTTCGCCAGATGGGCATCTTTTTCAAGTAGAATATGCACAGGAGGCTGTTAAAAAAGGCTCCACGGCTGTACGTTAGAAATTCTGGTGTTGTTGATTTTATAGGTGGGCGTTAGGGGCGCGGATTGTGTTGTTCTTTGTGTCGAGAAGAAGGCCACAACTAAGCTTCAAAATGACAGAACAGTGCATAAAATCTCCCTTCTCGACGAGCACATTTCTGTTGCGTTTGCAGGTAATCCGCTTTTTGTCATGATATTTTAGGTCTCACTGCTGATGCTCGAATACTCATCGACAGGATGCGAATCGAGTGCAAGAGCTACCGTCTCACCGTTGAGGATCCCGTCACCGTTGAGTATATTGCGCGGCATATGGCTCAGCTAAAGCAAAAGTATACCCAGAGCAATGGCCGGAGACCATTCGGTGTCTCCACTCTATTATGTGGTGTTAATAAAGACGGTTCTACCCACTTGTATCAAACGGACCCCTCTGGAACACACTTTGAGTGGCTGGTAAATTTTTCTTGGACTTATCGTTTTGCTGATTAGGCCAATGCTATTGGCAAGAATTCCAAAGCTGCTCGTGAATTTTTGGAGAAAAACTACAAAGAGGAAGCTGTAGCCACAGAAGAAGGCACCATTAAACTGGCCGTAAAAGCTCTAGTCGAAGTCGTTCAGACTGGCGCTAAACACATGGAATTAGGTGTTATGAAACGACGAACTCAACGAAAACCCGGGGAATCCTTTGCTGAGTGGAAGGTACGTAAAATCCTCACCACTTGGGTCCTACAATGTGTTATTATTTAAATGTTGCTGGTGGCTCTAGGTTGCTTTATTTATTGGAAAAGTTTATAACCACGTGTGCTTTATTTTTACTGAACCTCGTCATCTATAACTTTTCACACAATGCCTTTAATTTGGGTTTTGTGATTCTTGCATGACCGGAAGGGGCTTTGCCTTTTTTGGTAATTGCTTGTCGAGATCCCAATTTTTAATTGCTTTGAAAGTCATTACCACTGTCATTAACAACCGAAAGGTTCAGATGATGTTAGATACTCCGAAGTCCTATATGCAGTGCGATAATTTCGTCTAAAATGTTTAATTTTCCAGGAACCTATGAGAGCGCTAATGATGTTTTTAAATTTTACCCGTCGTCGGACTCGTTCTTTCATAAAAAACTATATTATCGCGTCGTGAATCGTATTAACAATGCCCTAACATATAGCTCAGTCAAGCAAACCTGTGTCGTAAAACTACAAAGTGTGGTAGTTTTTTATATTTAGAAATGTAGTAAAAATTGTGTTTCTCAAGTACAAAGGTGATTTAGGCACGTCAAGTAAAAATGATCGTTTAAAAACCCTAAAACAGTAAGTGATTTGTGTTTAAATAACTTTCAGAAACAGTTGTTTGAAAATATATTGAAGCCGTTATGCAAAAGTGAAGTTGCGCTGTAATTCGATCCGAAATCTGGTTGATATGGCTTTTCGAGTTGATCCTGATGGGAATTTCTTAGTGAGGTCATCATAATTCTTTTTGGTTTCCACTATTCCTACTCTAGTGGTATAAGTTTGTTCACAACGCGTTACCAATCTAAACATGCAATATTTTACAGTAACAGGGAAATAAAAGAATCTGTTATAGGTACGTAGAAGTAGGTCATAGCTAACATGTCTCGAACTTTGAACGAACTTGTTGGGCTCTGTTGTGGAGTCGGCGGCGGTAAGAAGTCGTATCTCGATTGTGATCGCTGAATTACAGTTGAAGCTCAGCAAAATTATGCGTTCACGTTTCAGATGCTTACGTCCGAGGAAATCGACCACTACGTGAAAGCAATTGAACGAGAACGCGAGGAGGAGGCCGAGAAGAAGAAACAAAAGGCAGAGTCCGTTGGAGGCGGTGGATCCTATTGAGGAAAATAATATCTATTATTTGCTACCTATGTTCAAACTAATAAATTTGCCATCATCGTTGCACCTGTGTCCACATACCCATTCCACGTAAAGGGCTAAAATCATGCGTGCAGTAAAAAGGCTCTTAAAAGCTTCCGTGGTTGCACTAACAGCGATAACAGGCGCCAAAGACAAAATTAAATAATTCAGGATTATTTCCGTTCTGGAGAAGAAAAAGCCAAAAACGATAAATAAGATAAGGAACAAAAAAGAGAACATAACCAAAAGCAACAGAGCATAAAAAAGATGAAAGCGAAGGGAAAAATAAGCATACCTAACAATACAAATGGTCCATTACATCGCCAGAGGTAGAGTGATCAATACCCGCGTAATCCACCTGTCAGCATCGTCACCCTCGAAGACACTACTCATCAGCCTCA